TTTGATGACCATTTTTTTATTTTAATTTAATTATTAAGTTTTCCCATTGGGTTTTTAAATTCTTTTGCTTTCTTTTTATTTTTCCGTATTTATGCTCCTTCTAAATTTTCAGAATATTTAATGATTACATTTAACAAATCTTGAATTTTTAATTTCCTTAAATATCCCCTCACAATATGCCAAGAATCTTTAATTTTAATATTTAACAGAAATTTAAATCCAATATTCAGCCAACCTCTGTGACTGACCTTTATTATGCGCGGACATTTAAACATCAACTCAACCTCGTTTGGACCTCGCGACTCAAGTTCCCGCACCTCGTCAAGCGAGGTTCAGTCAAGGTTCAGGGAAGTTTCGGTGCTGTCCGGGCGGGCTATTCTGATACTTACTGCTGGCGAGCACTACGGTCTAGCTCGAGTTCCGAGCTCTCCATTTTGCTCTAAGCATTTTGGAAACTTCCTTCTCAGGGTCGTGTTCTCGTACACAATAACCAACAAATTCACTTAATTTTATTCTTAAAGAAAACTTTTACTTTTAACAAGAGCACAAATTATAAATAAGAGAGAGAGAGAGAGAGAGAACAAACACTTTTCGGCGAACACAGTGTGACTAGCCGGCAAACGGCGTCCTTTTATATTTTCACTTTCCTGGTTTTCCCAGACAACCAGAATATCAATGAACTAAACTAGACTAGAAGGACTGGCCAAGCAAGTACTAATTGCAATTTTGGAAAATGGTTATGACGATCCTCTCGTCCTCCCCGAAGGAGTTTGCGCATTAATTAGCGCCTGTAGGCCGGCAACTGTAGTCCCAAAGCTGTCATCCGTGAATCGGTAATTACCATTGACAATTATTGATTGTCACAGGCAAAAGTGTAACAATCACGACAATAAAAATATAATTTGCAGTGGTGACTGTCTTTGACTGCTGTCATCTGTTTCTGCTAGCTAATCACACTATTTACATGATTATAATTTATTACAACAAAGTTTATATTAAAAAGTGAATGTTCTCTCTATATATTTTTTTTTAATAAAAATATTCTTAAAGACATTTTATTATTCGAATATTCAACGAAAACAAGATTAGTAATAATATAATTATCAATATTTTGGTGAGTTCGAGCCTGGCCAGTGTTTAAATAATTAAATTAATAATAATAAAAATGTTACTTTTTAGAATAAAGTTTCGGCGAGACTTCTGCACTTGGTTTTGTACGTGATTATTAAAAACCAAGTTACAATGTGTAATTTGATATATATTTATTATTATATAGGTATATATTTATAAAAGCATACATTGTACTCGCGAAGAGTACGCTCCTTAAGTGCGTGACTTTTACATTGTACCCCATTTTCGATTTACATAGCGTTGTCAAGGAAAAATAAAAAATTTTGAAAAAAGCGTTTAATCCGCCTAGGGCATACACTGTTTGACCAAGTCAATTTATCTTTGGTATACATTGATATTTTTGCGTGTAGATTATAGGAAAAATATAACGAACACGATTGGATTTGATGGTCATATTGTTTTTAAGAAATATTGTGTTTTTTATTGCACGTTTTACAAACTCCAAACATACATTCTTTATTTTTATGAATTCTTAAATAATTTTTACAAAGTCCGTTATCATTAACTAATGTTATTCTTTCTGAAATATTTAATTCGCGAAATTTGTTGCATTTAAATAACGGGTGAAAGTTTTCAGACAACGCTAGGCATTTTTTCCCTGTTGTAACAAATGTTTTGATTGTTTCCTTTTTTTCTTAACTTTGAAGGGGGTCCGTTATCATTATGAGGGTTTTGTTTAGAAAGCGACATTGCTGTTTAATATAAAAATTTAGTTAGTTTTTCAAAGGTAGGAAATTCTTCACGAGTTAAAGTTTGTAACGATAATTAAAACTGCGTACGATTTTAAATCGTACCACATTTAAATTCAGGCAACTGTAGATATATAGCATAGCTGGCAAGTCGAGAGAGAGCTCCTTGAGTGCACAAACTAGTTATCGTTAAACGTGAGAAATGAAATCCGCAATCTAGATGATAATAGCATCTAGTAGTTCCGAGCAGAGAAAACCGGGCGTAGATTAGGCACCGCTTTTACTCGTTATCATTTTCAGGACAAAACACGCTGCGGGAATCGAGAGGCACGACGACGACGAGGCACAAAACCTACAATAAATTCACTGATAAGTGACACTCATTTTTATTATTATTATTATTAACCTTTGTATTTTTCATTCTATTTCATATAATATATATGCTTACGGAGTTTTAATTTACGTCTCATAATTGTCTGCACCTTCTTTGCCACAAATCCTAGTCACGTCGTACGCGCATAAAACTTACGGATTAGTAGATGGCGCTTCACGCCATCTGTTCAAGTAACTAGTGTAATGAGTCACTCTGACTCGATCCGACGAGCATTATCTGTAGCATAATAATCAATCATTACATGGCGCCCGAACAGGGACTAGATTTCTTTTTTTACTTGACCATCGTGACTACGATTTGTGAAAAAATTGGCCTCCGTCGTCGACGTCAATTAAATTTTAAATTTTAAACATCATAAATAGGAAATCGGGATACGTTAAGGAACCGCGATATTTTAAAGTTAGTTTTTTTGCGATCGGTATCACACATCGTTAAAAATTTTTGTAAAGCAAGAAAGAAGATATTTGGAAACAACAGCTGAGACCGTCAAACTTTAGTACATCAACGGAAAATGGAGCGCTTTTCCCAATTAACATTTTTTATGAGAAATTTTTTTTTCTCTCTCCCCATTTTACCTGGAGAAATAAGAAACCTAGAATCTCAGATAGCGAGCAAGGTGCAAAGAAATAACGAATCAATTAAAAGTTTTGCAATTTCCCTCAGAACACTGATGAGAAGACATGGTGGATATAATCACGCCCGGGAAATAGACACCCTTTATTGGAACATAATTCCCATCTACAGACTCCACATCAGGAGAACAGAAATAGACAGTGTCAATACACTCATTCAAAGAGTAGAGGAAATCGCAGAAATTTTAAAGACAGTAAACACACCAGAAAAAGCACCAAAAACGCGCCAAATCCATGAGTTACCTGAAGTATCTAAACCATACGACCCAAAAACTCATTGTTGTAGATGTAGGAAACCAGGGCACCGTCACCACGTATGTAGAAGTAAGTCCAAGAAATTCTGTTCCTACTGCGGAAGGAACAACATCCTTACTAAAGACTGCCCATGCCATACTTCGGGAAACGACCGGAAGGTCGAACAAAAGGAGTAAGTTCCACCTTACATACTGAAGACTCCCGGATTTTCGTAAACTACACATGTAAAAACTTGTCAATTTGTTCCCTCATAGACACCGGAGCGGTGTGTTCTTTTATTAACATCGAAACAGCCAATAATCTAGAAAAATAGGAGGAGTTACAGAACTAGCAGACATCATTGTAGCCCTAGCTAACGGTGCAAAATTTAAAGTATACACAAGTTTTCAAATTAAAATTACTGTAGGATCAACAATAGTATAACATAGATTTTTTGTTTTACCAGGACTCTCTCAATCTATGTTAAATGGGATAGACCTACTAAAAAAGTTTAATTTTGACCTTCGGATCAATAACATGAACATCCAACTAGTGAAAAAATCGTTTAAAATTGAAGTATGTGAAATTGGACCTTCAGGCCTAACCTCTCTAGATCATCAGCAACAAGAGGAACTAGAAAATTTACTACAGACAGAAAAGACCCTATTTCAAAACATTCCAGGATGTACACCATTATTAAAACACGTGATCCGCTTAGAAGTTTTTACCCCAATTAAACAGAGATACCAACCTAGAAATTTCGTAGTGCATGGAGTTCTCCAGTCGTTCTAATTAAAAGGAATAGTAGCAAATTAAGATTCTGTATTGACTTTCGAAGGTTAAACAAAATAACAAAAAGAGATGCATATTCGCTTCCTTGAATAAATAGCATTCTCGACCAACTAAAAGGAGCCAAATATTTATCAACAATTGAGCTCAAAAACTGTTATTGGCAGGTAGGACTAACAGACGAAAGCGCACCACTCACAGCATTCACAGTACTCAGCCTAGGACTCTTCAAGTTTGTAGTGATGCCATTCGAACTCCATTCAGCACCTGCAACATTCAAAAGATTAATAGATTTAGTAATTCCAGCAGAATTAGCTCCAAAAGTATTTTCTTACCTTGACGATATTGTCATTACTTCTGAAACATTCCAAGAACACATAGGCTTACTAAAAACAGTTTTCACTAATCTACGCGAAGCCAAACTAATTCCAAATTGGGAAAAATGTTCGTTTGCCAGGACACAATTGACGTACCTAGGACATCTTCTCGACAAAGATGGTCTTCATCCAGATCCAGAAAAGGTCGACGCCATCTTGAAACTCTCCCCTCCTACGAAACTGAAAGAATTGAGAAGATTCTTAGGAATGATTTCCTGGTATAGAAGATTTGTAAAGGACAACTCTCAATCCATGGCACCAGGGCCGGATTTACCACGGGGCCAGCGGGGCCATGGCCCCAGGGCCTCCACCATTTAGGGCCTCCACCAAATCAAATACTTTCAAAATTTAAATTTATTTTTTCTCTGTTTGTAGAATATTTTTTACTCAAAAGTCATGACTTCATTTACATTTTGAGAAATTACTGTTTCTGAAATTCGTCAACCTTCGATCGTCGCGCTCACGGTGGTCATTTTTGGCATCATATGTTTATTCGAAATCAAACCCTACTCCCACCACTACAGTTTCTAGACCTGACTATTTATAAACAAAGTTACAGACTGACATTATAATATTATCTCAAGGTATTTTCTTTTTAATGAGATTTACATTCGGTTTTTAAAATGTTATTTTAATTGTGAGAGAATTTCTCGATGCAGAGTGATTGTAAGTGAAAAGCTTGCAGTATTTGCAGGTGTTTGAATTTTAATTATTTTTGTAGAGAAAACACAGTAAGTATTGTACATAAACTAAAATGTCAATGATTATCAGTTAGTTTTTAATTGCTATATTTAAATTTATTCTTTCTATAATTTATAGAACAAATTAAAATGTTCAATCGAAATGAAGATCGCCATAGAACTCCGCGAAGTTTTCCAAGTGGCGCTCAAAAAAGAAAAATTGCTGCTGAAAAAGAAAAAAATTTTGAGCATTCACTTTCTAAAACTCCGAAAATAAGCAATTATTTTATTTCTTATCAAAACTCTGAAGCTATAAAAACCGAACAACCAGTTAGTCCTTCAAGTTTAGCCATTTCAGAATTTGCTGAATGTGAATCAAAAATTTCTGCCATTGACATTGCCTGCGTTAATTCAGAAGCTGTATGTAATGAAAAACCAAATATTTCTTCATCAGATATTTTAGAATTTGGTGAAGTTGAATCGAAAACCGACACCGCAGTGCATTTAGAGGAGACATTAGAAAATCCTAATTTTCTGACTGATATCGGACTTTGGGTACAACCTTACTCCGATGATATGATCGACTTCTGGATAAAAAAAGGTCCAACTGAATTACAAAACAGCGACGAAAAAATCCTCTCTAAATTTTCTTCTACTCAGATAAGGCAAAATGTGAGTGAGAGTACAAGAAAGTGCACACCAAGCCTTTTTCATCGAATCAATCAAAACAAAGAAGTAGTCAATCGGTTTTGGTTATGTTTTTCACCATCTACTGGAAAAATATATTGTTTTTTGTGTAAATTGTTAGCAACTTCACCGAATGTAGCACTAAGTCAAGAAGGGTACTGCGATTGGAAACATGCATCAGAACGTGTATGTCAACATGAAATATCGAAGAATCATTTGAACTCGGTTACAGCTTTTTCATCACGTTACAATGAAACAACTTGCATTGATAGCAAAATAAAAGAACAGGTAAGTTTTAATTTAAAAAAATTAAGTGTACAGGCTTTTTATTTATTGACTATAATCTGCTTGTTTTCATTACAAATTTGAATTATTATTTAAATATAATACTTGTATAAGCGTATTGACATGAAAATCTAAATAATCAGAAATTCGGAAACAATAAGAAATTAATATTTTTAGTTCTGTATTAAAATACCATTTTTTTTCGTGAAATATTTTAAGTTACTAATAACAATAATTTGATTTAGGCCACTGAAGTAGCTCGATATTGGAGAAAAGTTCTTAAAAGAGTTGTAGGCACCGTTAAATTTCTTGTTGAACGTGGACTAGCTTTTCGAGGTCTCGATGAAATTATTGGCTCGCCAAACAATGGAAATTTTCTGGGAATTATGGAGTTAATTGCTCAATTTGATCCTTTTCTTGCGACTCATATGGAAAAATATGGAAACAAGGGAAGTGGTCACACAAGTTATTTGTCGTCAACAGTAGTAGAAGAACTAATTTTTCTTATGGGAAAAGAAGTATTGCGCGAAATAGTTTCCCGCATAAAAAAAGCGAAATACTATTCTGTATCAGTTGATTCTACGGTTGATGAAGGACACATTGATCAGTTGACTGTGGTCATAAGATACATGGAAAATTTGAATCCAGTAGAACGGTTTTTAACCTTTATTCCGAATGTTGGCCACCAAGGCAAAGATATGGCCCAAGCTCTTCTTGGATTTTTAAGTAAATATGATTTAGACATAATGGATTGTCGAAGTCAGTCTTATGATAATGCACCAAATATGAGTGGCAAATACAAAGGTATGCAGGCTTTGATAAAAGAGGAAAATCCTTTGGCTGAACATCTTCCATGCTTTGGGCACTCAACGAATTTAATAGGAAAATCAGCTGCCAATGCATGTCCTGCTGCCGTTCATTTCTTTGACTTTGTCCAAGAACTTTGTGTATTTTTTACTAATTCAACAGCGAGATATAAAATCTTAATTGAAAAATTATCTGCCGCGACACCAAGAGGAAACTTCTATACTTTAAAAAAGCTAAGCGATACTCGTTGGTCGTATCGCGCAGATGCCACTAAAGCTCTGGTTCATGGGTACAAACCTATTCAAGATGCATTAGATGAAATTTACAACGACGTTGAACAAAAAAGTATTGTGAGAAACGAAGCTTTTGGTCTTTTACAAAAAATGGCTAAACTAGAAACTGCAATTTATACTAAATTTTGGCATGACATGCTTGAAAGGTTCAATTCAACAAATGAAATTTTACAAAGTTCCACAATGATTCTTTGCACAGCTGTTAACTGCCTCAAGTCATTAAAAACATTTGTTGAATCGAAAAGAGACGCATTTGAAACGTATGAAGTTGCGGGCAAAGAATTATCTAATGTTCAAGAGTATGAAATTGTACGTGTAAGGAGACCAAATGTGACTCGCAGACCTCTTGACTGTGTACAAGCACCTTCGGTTCAATTATTGCCTAGAGATAAATTTCGAACAGAGAGTTTTCTTCCGGTTTTTGATCAATTAGTCTCGTCATTAACTGAACGAATAGCAGCTTATGAGGTTATCTATGAAAGATTTGGGTTTTTAGCCGAATTGAGTACTATAGAATCTGCCGAGTTAGAAAGAAAAGCAAATAATCTTGTAGATGTCTATCCTGAAGATCTAGATGGGAATCTAGCAAACGAACTTTTACACCTTGTGGCTTTTTCTAAACAATACGAAAAAAGAGAAAACGAGTCTGTAGAATTTTTTTTCTATCGCTTGATTTTAGAAAACAATTTGAAATCAACATTTTGCAATGCAGAAATAGCTCTTCGAATATATTTTACTTTAATGGTAACTAATTGTAGTGGAGAAAGATCATTTTCTAAGATGAAAATAGTAAAAAATAGATTTCGAACTAGCATGGGACAAAATCGTTTGGAAAATTTAACGCTTCTCAGCTTAGAAAATGATATTCTTCGCAACTTAAGTTTTGATGGTATCATAAATGACTTTGCAAATGCAAAATCACGCAAAACTCAGATTTAATATTATAAGTTAAAAAAAGTTTCCGGAAAACTTTAATATTTTATTAAATGTATGTATTTTTAATATTGAAAAAATAAAAGCTTATATTATTTGCTAAAAAAGAATTATTATTTTTATGTTTTGTTTCATATTGAAAAAAAATTTGCACTCATAGGGCCTCCACCTGACTCTGGCCCCAGGGCCTCCACAATCCTAAATTCGGCCCTGCATGGCACCCTTAATTGATTTACTGAAAAAGAACAACATCTGGCACTGGGACATAGTTCACTAACAAGCATTTGAATCGGTTAAAACCAAATTAACAAAAGCTCCAGTTTTGGCTTATCCAGATTGGTCAAAAACATTTTTTCTGCAAACATATGCAAGCCTGGAAGGTTTGGGAGCGGTGTTGACCCAAAAACAAGGAGATACAGATGTCGTCATCGCGTATGCCAGCCTACATTACTCCCCGCTGAGAAACATTATTCAGCCACCGAACTCGAATGTCTCGTAGTCAAATGGAGTATTTGGAAAATGATGCATTACCTCATTTTCCATTACCTCATAACCACTTTGTGGTCATCACAGATCATCAAGCCCTTAAATGGCTTAATGGCATTGAGACACCCTCAGGACGTCTAGCTCGTTGGATTTTTGAATCATCTCAGTGGGATTTTGATGTACAATATAAAAAAGGCAGTGAAAATAGGCTACCCGCTTATCTCTCCCGTTCTCCTGTAGAGGTCGCTACAATAGAAAAACTACCGTTGTGCCCTTGGTACCAAAGACAATGGAAACATACGAAAGAAAATCCGGAACGAAACCCAGATTTCAAGATAGAAAACGGAAGACTATTTCACCACGTTCTACATTCACTGGACTTTAAAGATTCCCCATACGAAGATCAGTGGAAACTGCATACCAAAAGAAAAAAGAATTAAAATATTAACAAAAAAAAAGATGGCACTGAGTACGAACGAATTTGCATTAATTGCCAACAGAATAAAAGTTCCCAACAAGCTGCTGCAAATAAAATGCATTAAACACTAGTAGAAAATTAGTGGGAAATGATTTCCGTATATTTCATTGGTCCATTGCCTCGCACTACCTCGGGAAACACAACACTATTTGTTATTCAGGATAGATTTACTATATGGTTAGAATTGAAACCGTTACGAAAAGCCACAATTATGTTACTAATTTCAGCATTAAAAGAAAATTTTTATCGCTTCGGATGCCCCAGACAAATTGTCTCAGATAACGGTAGACAGTTTATCAGCAACGAGTTCAAAACATTCTTGAAAGATTTCGGCATTACTCATCGCTTAACACCGCCATACTCAACACAATGCAATCCAGTGGAGATAAGTACAGAGCCAGTACATAGATAAGAAGAAACCAGACTGGGATCGTCATCTTGCAGAATTACAATTTGCGTATAACACTGCTAAACACACATCAACAGGTTTCACACCAGCTTATCTTACCACCGGCAGAGAATTCCTCCCACCCGGATTCCAAGACATGAGATTGAACTGCCTTCCTCCCACAACATCCGAAATATGAATAAAAACATTACAAAATGCCCTAGAACTAGTGACAATAAATCTTGCCTAAAATTTTCATTCCCAACAAAAACACTATAATCTGCGGAAAAGACAATGGAATCCTAGCGTAGGTGAAAAAGTCCTAAAAAGAAACTTTCATTTGTCGAATAAACTACAAAAGAAAAACGCAAAACTTCTAGAAAAATTCAGCGGATCAATTCTTATAAAAAAAATTATCGCCAAATATTTATGATTTAATCGACGAAAAGGGAAAGACTTTTCGACACATGTAGCTAAAAGATATTAAGAAGTTTGTAGACGGCCAGCTTATCGCTTGAGAAATCCTTCCTATAGAGAGATAAGATAAGAATGACCATATGAATACCACACAGCTCTCAGAATTATCCAGTCGTTTGCTAGAAACCAGTCAGCATGGATCGTTACAACGAAAGAAAACTCGCCTGCTATAATAAAGCATTAATAAAAAAAGACGCATTAGACCTCGCGAATTTAAATTATCAAAATGAAGAATTTGATTATGCATTTCAAAATGCATTTTTCTTGGACCATGGGTTTCGGACGCTAACCCAACGTTAAATAATAATTTTATAAAAGGGTATAGTGCATCGTGGAGAAAACGTACTGAATTCAAATTTTCTAGTATCTCTCAAACAAACATAGTAAGAAAGATTGACACACAAATTACGTTCACAAACAACTTTAATAAACATACTTATTGTCAATAAACCTCACACGTGTCGACCATCCAGCAAAAGCAATAACCCCCATCGCCGAACTAACCATCACCAATAACACAGAGAACCTAGAAAATAAAGAAATAAAACCAGCATCGAAATACTTACCTCCAACTTCTCAGTCCTTACTTACCACAAAAGAAGACATTGAATTCATCGATTTGACCTCGCCTACAACATCACCTAAAAAGAAAAATTAGAACGAATAAACATTAAGAAAAATAAACCTAAGATAATAGAGGACAGAATACTCACCACTCCAGTTATATTGAAAAAAAGGAAGAGTGCCCCAGTTCATTTGAAGAATTGTTCAATAACCTTAAGAACATCATCGAAGAAGAAGAACCATCCGACATTTGCCTAGACAATGTCGAACCCTTTGTTCCAACCAACTCAAGGAAAAACCCAATCACACTGCCTACTCACTTGGCCAACAAAAAATTTATTGTGGCAAAACTCCCCGTTGGACCTTGGGTACAAATCCTATTGGGAATGGAGCGCTACCGCATCCCACTGGATGACTGTCAATGGGCCCTGAGGCTTGACCAGCGCTCAGGATGGATTCGTCATGCACGGAAAATGGTGTAAGTGGGTTAAATTTATTTTGTTCTTTCAAAAAAAAAGAAAAAAAAATTTCTCTTCATTTTTTTTCTCCTTGTTTCCTCTGCATACGCTTATTAAAATTCGCTTTCCAAGTGAGGGGATGTAACGATAATTAAAATCGCGTACAATTTTCAATCGTACCATATTTATATTCTTACAAATATAGAATATATGACCAGCCCTGCGGCTGGTTCAACCGCAGAGTCCATTTGCAATCATTCAGTGGGATGCGGTAGGGCTTCATTCCCAATGGGATTTGTACCCAAGGTCCACCGGGGAGTTTTGCCAGAATAAATTTTTTGTTGGCCAAGTGATTATGGAAGTGTGATTGGGTTTTGCCTCATGCTATAGCATGAGAGAATGCTATGGCACGCTGGCAAGTGAAGAGAGAGTGCGGAAGGCGCACACAAGTCGCGTCGCTCTCCCTCCAGCGAGTAACTTCCCTCTGCCGGCTACGCGAAAACGAGGTACTAGAATGCAAGACCGCTGAACGGCAGTTCGTATCCAGACACGCTTCGAGGCGCTCATCGGGCTGATCGGTGCGAACGCAAAACCTCCCCTATGAGCTTCCCATGTGGATGAGGCGCCCTTCAGCACATGTGAAATAACAATGGGTGGGTGACCTTAACTGTAGGCGCCCCTGCGTTAAGCAAGCACCCACCATTTCCTCCTCTCGACTTATCTCACTCCTTATCTCGTTCTTCACGATAGGCAAGAGGGTCAGGGTTTACCCCTTGCTCTTCATCGACCGGTTCACTAGAGACACTCCCCTTGAATCGGTCACCTTTAATGCACAAAACTAGAAATCGTTTAACGTAATCACATAAGATAAGCACTCAAGTAATTATTGAACCTAGATTTTCGAGCAGAGGTAACCAGGCGGAAACTCGGCATGACTTTTATTCATGATACTTTTGCAGGACAGAACTCGCTGCGGGAGTCGAGATGCAGGACGGTGATGAGGCACGGAGCCTACTGTAAAACCGTCTGAACTACGTCATTAAATTATTGTTTATTGTTAACTCTTTTTTTTATAATTTGTATTTTGTCGATTTCACTTTCTTATCTAATATACTTACTTACGAAGGTTTAATTCAAATCTCTTATTATTGTTTACACCTCTTTTCCACCAAATCCTAGTCACGCCAGAAGGCGCTTCACGCCATCTGTTCAAGTAACTAGTGTAATGAGTCACTCTGACCTGATCCGACAAACATTATCCGTAGCAAAATAATCAATCATTACAAACTAGTTTCTAAATTATCTAAAATATCTAATCCATCATGTACCGAATCAAAACTTTCGAAGATCGGGTTTATTCTTTGCAATCAAATTTGTAATTGAACAAAATTAGTTTCTGATTTATATTTATTTAAGAACAATTCAAACATATTTAGTTGACCTTTAATTGAATTACGTATGCGATTCCAATGCTTTGAGACGGAGGGAGTCTTCTTATGGCGAAGTCGAAGCAATTTAATAAATGTGTAAAAAATGGATAAATTTTGAATAAATTTTTGTGTAAAAATGTAACGTACTTACATTATCGTTTTTTTGAATTTTGAAGAATGTACTTTATCGTGATTGTGTGTGATCCATGTAAAGAAATGCCATGTGGAACATAGTACTTCACTCCTTGACAGAATTTTGACTTTTTGTTTTGTGCCTCGTATGCGGCTCGAATGGACCAATTTAATGTGACCAATATCTTATTAAAATTTAATTTAATAAGATTTATTTCGATATAAGCATGAATCCAAAAAAGAAAAACGAATATTTTCTGAAAAAACATAGATTTTTCAAACTTTTTCCAAAACGACACTTAAGCTGGGAAATATTCTTTAGTTCTTTTAACTCGTGAAAAGGAAAAATTATTATTGTTTTCGGTTTAAAATTTATTCTATAGTTTAACACTAAAGAATAATTCGAAATATTTAGTATTTTTTTATTTCGTCCTCGAACTCAGAGGTAAGGATTAAGTTCTATAGTTTTAGAAGCATATAAAGGTCATCAAGAATCAAAATTGTTTCGTTTTTATATACTCAAATAATTTTTTTCAGTAAAAGAAAGGTAGGTATAGGTATTGGCCTTAGCTATAAGTTATATAGGGTGTCCCAGTCATGGGTGTACATATTAAAGGTACATATTCTACAAAAAAAATAAGACAAAAAGTCTTCTATAGTTTTTCAAAATTTTTTATAATTTTTACGTATATTGCAATTGAAAATTTAAAAATTACGTGTGGTGATCGGCCGCGCGAGCTCAGTAGGCCGGTGGGCGGGGCACAGCGCGCCGGATCTTTCCTGATTATC